CCACAGCGGCTGCGGGGCCGGAGGCTCGGGGCGAGGTGGTCACTCGGCTGCAGCGCAAGGACGGCCTGGGCTGGACGTGGGTGTACGCCCGCCTGCGGCCGGAGGGGCCGGCCCTGCTGGCCCACAACTTCGTCATCAGGTCAGTGGTCACTGCCCAGCGGTCAGTGCCGAGTGCCCAGCGGTCAGGGGTCTTGGCTGCCCCTGGTGACCCCGGGTGGCTGCAGCGGCACTGACCGCTGTGTCCTGATGGCCGCACTGACCGCGCCGTCCCAGTGGCCGCAGCCGCACTGACCGCACTGACCGCACTGACCGCCGCCCTGTCCCCCGCAGCGAGGCCGAGGCCTGGTGCCTGCGCCAGCAGCTGGCGGCCGAAGCCCCCCCGGGACCCCCGGAGCCGTTCGGGCCCGGCCTCGACTTCCCCGCGAGCGACCGCGAGCTGCCCCTGGAGCTGCCCCTGCGGCCCGGCCTGGGGCTGGCGGTCAGCGGCGCCGACGGACACGGACACGCGCTCGGACACGGCGCTGACCCCGGCCTGGGGTCCGGCATCGGACACGCGCTCGGACACGGACACAGCGCTGACCCCGGCCTGGGGTCCGGCATCGGACACGCGCTCGGACACGGACACGGCGCTGACCCCGGCCTGGGGTCCGGCATCGGACACGCGCTCGGACACGGACACAGCGCTGACCCCGGCCTGGGGTCCGGCATTGGACACGCGCTCGGACACGGACACAGCACTACGGCCATTGCTGACCCGGGCCTGGGGTCCGGCATTGGACACGGGCTCGGACACGGCGCTACGGCCGCAGCTGACCCCGGCCTTGGAGCCACCATCGGACATGGCCTTGGACACGGCGCTGACCCCGGCCTGGGGTCCGGCATTGGACACGGGCTCGGACATGGACACAGCACTCCGGCCACCGCTGACCCCGGCCTTGGGGCCACCATCGGACACAGCCTCGGAGCTGCCCTGGGCAGTGGCGTGGAGCCCGGCCTGGGGCCTGGCATTGGACACGGGCTCGGACATGGACACGGCGCTGCGGCCACCGCTGACCCCGGCCTGGGGCCTGGCGTTGGACACGGCCTGGCAGCCAACGCCGCGGTCACTGTTGACCCTGGACTTGGGACTGGCCTTGGACACGGCCTCGGGGCCAGCCCTGGACACGGCCTCGGGGCCAGCACTGCGGCCACCACTGACCCCGGACTTGGAGCCACCATCGGACACGGCCTCGGGGCCAGCACTGGACACGGCCTCGGGGCCAGCACTGCGGCCACCCCGGGGTCAGTGGCCCCAAACGTCTGCCGCGGCCTGGGCTCGGACACCGGCCTGGGACTCGGCGTGGGAGGCGGCCTCAGAGTGGACATCGGCCTGGACGTGGCGGCCGGAGCCGACACTGACCTCGGGGCCGAGCTGGGGCCGGCCGGAGTGACCGCTGGCGTGGCCGGAGTGACCGCTGGTGTTGCCCTGAGCGTCGGGCCCGGCCTGGCCGGCGGCGCCATCAGGGCCAGCGTGGGGCTGGGCATCGGCGCGGCCGCGCTGCCCCCGGACGTCGGAGTGACCGTCGGGGCCGGAGCCGCGGCCGGACTCGGCCTGGGAGCCAGCGCGGGGTCAGCTCTGCCGGCCGGAGCTGGACTGGACAGTGCTGGGCTCGGACACAATGCTGGCCATGGACACAACACTAGCCTCGGACAGAACCCTGGGCTGGCCAACACCAGCCTCGGACACAATGCTGGAAATGGACAGACCCCTGGACATGGACACAATGCCAGCTTTGGACACAACTCCAGCCTTGGACAGAACCCTGGCCTTGGACACAATGCCAGCTTTGGACACAATTCTGGCCTTGGCCACAACTCTGGACTCGGAACCAATTCTGGCCTTGGCTCCGGCGTGGGCCTGGTGTCCGGAACCTCCCTGGGCCCCGAGCTGGACATTGGCCTGGGCATGGACATCGACCCCTGCTCGGACACCGGCCCTGGCCTGGGCCTGGGCTCTGTGCCCTGCTCGGCCCCCGGCCTGGGCCCCGTTTCCTGCTCGGACACCGACCTTGGCCCCGTTCCTGTTCCCTGCTCGGACACCGGGCCCGGGCCGGGCCTGGGTTCCATCCCGTGCTCGGACCCTGGCCTGGGCCCGGGCCTGGGCTCGGCGCTCGCTTTCGCCGTGGGCGCCGCGCTGGGCTCCGGCCTGGCCCAGCCGGGCCTCGCTGCCGACCCCGACCTCGGGCTGGGCCTGGCCGCGCCCCTGGCGCCCCCCGCCCCGCCGGGGCTGCTCCGCCTGGGGCTGGGCGCGCCCGAGCCCCCCGGCCCGGCCGGCGCCGAGACCTGGACGCCGCCGTACACGCCGCGCCAGGCGCCGCCGTTCCCGTTCGGGCCCCCCGAGCCCCCCGAGGAGAAGCTGCCGCCGAGCCCCGAGAGCCCCGGCGGGGCCGCGCCGGGCGCGGGGGGCCCGGGGGGGGCGCTGCTGACCCCCGAGACGTCGCCGCCGCCGGTGCCCCCGGTGCCCCCGGTGCCCCCGGTGCCCGCGGTGCCCGCGGTGCCCGCGGCCGGTGCCGGCGCGGCCGGGCCGGCGCTGCGGCGGCTGCTGCAGGGGCTGGCGGCCATCGCCGCCCGCGGGGGGCCCCGCCGGGGCCCGGCGGCCGCTCCCGGGGCTGCCCCCCGGCCCGCGGGGCCGCCCCCGGCCCGGTCGCCCCGCGACCCCTTGGCTGCTGCCGCTGCCGCTGCTGAGTTGTATCAACTCCCCCAGAGCCGCCTGCAGGACGCCTTCCGCAAAGGTGGGCAGGGCACGGGCATTTGGGGGCGTTTGGGGGCATTTGGGTGGTTTGGGGGGGATTTGGGGCAGGTTTTGGGGTTTTCAGGGCGGTTTTGGGGTTTTTAGCGTAGTTTTTGCGACAGTTTTGGGGTGATTCTGGGGGGGTTTTGGATCAGTATCGGGGTTGTTGGGATGCTGTAGGGGTTTTTAGGGTGATTTTGAGGGTATTGGAGTGGTTTTAGGGGTTTTCAGGGTGGCTTTTGGGTCTTTTGGAGGGGTTTGTGGAGTTTTTGGAGCAGCTTTGGGGATCTTGGGGCAGTTTTCGGGGTATTCAGGGCAGTTTCGGGGTTTTTGGGGCAGTTTTTGGGTCAGTTGGGGGGTTTTGGTTGGCTTTTGGGGGAGTTTCGCGGTTTTTGGGATGGTTTTTGGGGCAGTTTCGGGGTTTTTGGGGTAGTTTTTGGGTCAGTTTTGGGGTTTTTGGGGCAGATTTTGGTGCAGTTTTTGGGGTAGATTTTGGTGCAGTTCCGGGGTTTTTGGGTCAGTCTGGGTTTGCAGCCCGTCCCTGACGTGTCCCCTCTCTGTCCCCAGCCGGAAGCCAGCGCGCCCCGTCGTTCTGAACTGAAGTCTGTGACGCGACTTGCCCCCAGTATGGCATATTGTCATTGTCACCCCGGCCCGGCCAGCGCCCCCCGGCCCGGCCGCCCCTGCCCTGCCGCCCCCCCTTCGGGGCCGCTCGTGCTAATTTAACTCGTAACGAGTCTCTAAGGTAATTGGGGGGGGGCTGGTGGCCCCCCCCGCCCCCAGCCCGGACGCCTGGGGACGTCCCCGTGTCCCCAGAAGTGTCCCCAGCAATGTCCTTCCGTCCCTCTGTCCCTCTGTCCCTCTGTCACCTCCCCCCACCTCGGGCTCTGCGTTTTTGGCAGAGCCCCCTCCCCAAAATTGTGTCCCCTCGCCCCCCCATCCCCTCGTGGGTGTCACCCTCAATGTCCCCAAGGCGGGGGACCGAGGCACGATGTGGCTTGATGTCCCCAAAGTCCCCAGTTTCCCCAATTATTTCCCCAATAGTGTCCCCAGTATTGTCCCAAATTTTTCCCAATTATGTCCCCAATTATATCCCTAATAATGACCCCAAGAATGTCCCCAGTTTCCCCAATAATGCTCCCAATAATGTTCCCAATTATGTCCCCAAGATGTCCCCAATCACATCCCCAATAATGTCCCCAAAATGTCCCCAATGATGTCCCCAGTGTCCCCAAGCCCTGGGGCTGAGGCACAATGTGCCTCAGTGTCCCCAGTGTCCCCAACACCCTCCAAGGGACATCCTGGCCTGATGTCCCCGATGTCCCCAATGTCCCCAGCATCCCCAAAGCCCCTGATGTCCCCAGAGTGTCCCCAATGTCCCCACCGTGTCCCCAACCCCCCGGACTGAGCCTGTTCAGCGTCCCCAGTGCCGCCGATGTCCCCAAAGGAGGAGGACGCCGTCACCGCGCTCATGGGACCGAGTCACCAACGCGTCCCCAATGTCCCCAACATGTCCCCAATGTCCCCAAATGCGTCCCCAATGTCCCCAACGCGTCCCCAATGTCCCCGACATGTCCCCAACGCGTCCCCAATGTCTCCAACGCGTCCCCAATATCCTCAAAGCGTCCCCAATATCCCCTAACATGTCCCCAGTGTCTCCCCTGGCAATAAAAGTGTCCCCCAATGTCCCCGTGCCTGCGGCAGCTCCTTTGGGGAGGTGACATTGGGGACATTGGGGGGGTTTGGGGGGGACAAAAAACTCGAGGGAGCCCCAGGGGAGGAGCCAGGGGTTGAAATGAGCCGGGATTTGGGGAGGTTTGGGGAAGATTTGGGGCATCTGGGGAAATTTAGGGGCATTTGGGGAGGATTTGGGAGAATTTGGGGGTATTTGGGGACGATTTGGGGGGATTTGGGGATCCCGGGAGTCCCGCCGGAGCCGCCAGGCCCCGCCCCCAGGGCAGAAACCGCTCCCACAAGGCTCAAACCACGCCCCCTAGCCATGAAACCGCGCCAATTCACTCGGCACAAGCTAATCTGCATAGCCCCGCCCCTGCTGTTGAGGCCGCGCCTTCTCCGCCCCGCGCATGCGCGGCCCCTCCCGGCGTCGGCGCAGCGCGGTGAGTCCCGGACTGGTCCCAGTGACCCCGAACTGGGACCGGTAACCCCGGAACTGCACCCAGACCCTTCCCCATCCCCAAACTGGTCCCAGTAACCCCAAACTGGTCCCAGCATGCCGGACTGGTCCCGGCTCCGCGCCGGCCCCAGCGACCCCCGGAACCCTCCCAGTAACCCCCAGTATCGCCCAGCACCCCAACAGTGAGCCCCAGTCCCTCCCAGTGCCCCAATCCCCTCTCCCAGTGCCCCCCAGTCCCTCCCAGTATAACCCAGTATAACCCAGTCCCCTCTCCCAGTGCCCCCCATGACCCGAGCCCGGTTTTTGGGGGGCTGTGCGTGGCTCCTGGGGGCTCTGGCCCTGCTGCAGACCCTCTACCTGTGCTCCCCAGTACAACTCAGTCCCTCCCAGTATAACCCAGTATAACCCAGTATAACCCAGTCCCCTCTCCCAGTGCCCCCCATGACCCGAGCCCGGTTTTTGGGGGGCTGTGCGTGGCTCCTGGGGGCTCTGGCCCTGCTGCAGACCCTCTACCTGCGCTCGCTGCCGCCCCCCCCCCACCATTCCCATTCCCATTCCCGCGCCCCCCGCCCCAATTCCCGCCCCCCCCGGGGGGTCCTGGACGCCTCGGGCTCGTTCCGGGTGTTCTGGGACGTTCTGGGCGCCCCCCCGGGCTGGGCCCGCGCCCCCCGCCCCGAGCTGGTGCTGGCGGCGCACGGGACCCCCGGGCGGGCGGCGGCGGCGCTGGGCGGGGGTCTCCAAAAAGGGGAGGGGTCCTGGGGGGGGCCGCTGTCCCTGGCCGTGTTCGGGGAGCCCCGGGGGGGGCTCCAGGAGCTGCTGGGGGTCCTGGGGGGGCCGTGCCGGGCGCTGAGGGGGCGGCTCCGGCTGCAGGTGGTGCAGGGGGCGGCGCGACCCCCGCCCCGGATCCCGGCGGCGCCCCCTCCCCAGCCGTGGCGCGGGGGGTGCCGGGGGGCGCTGGCCCGGCTGGCGGCCGCCGACCCCCCCAGTTACGCTCTGGGGGTGCCGTACCCCGGGAATCTGCTCCGCAACGTGGCCTGGCAGGGCGCGGCGGGGGGCGGGCCCGGGCCGAGACCCCCGCCCCAATTCTGGCAGCGCTTCGTGCTCGTGGTGGACGCGGACGTGGAGCCGAGCCCGGGGCTGCGCGAGGGGTTCCTGGAGCTGCTGCGGGGCGGGGGGCTGGACCCCCAAAACTGGGGACGGGACCCCCGGAACTGGGGACGGGAACCCCAAAACTGGGGGGGACAGGAGCCCAAAAACTGGGGGGCACTGGGGGACCCCAAAGCTCCAGGGTCTTGGGGGGTTTTGGGGACTCAGGGGGATTTGGGGAACCCCAAAACTTTGAATATTCAGGGCAGTTTGGGGTTTCAAGGGGATTTTGGGAACCCCAAAATTTTGGGGGCTTCCGGAGGGCTGGGGGTCTCCAACACCTCGGGGGGTCCCCAATGGCCTGAGTGACCACAACGCTCTGAGTGACCCCAAAGCTTTGAATGACCCCAATGCCCTGAGTGACCCCAAAACCTGGAGTGACCACAATGACCTGAGTGACCCCAAAGCTTTGAGTGACCCAAAAGCCTCGAGTGCCCCCCATGCCCCACATGACCCCAATGCCCAGAGTGCCCCCAACGCCCTGAACGCCCCGAACACCCCGAGTGCCCCCCACGCCCCCGGCGCCCCCCAGGCCCCCGCTGGCGCCCCCCCCTGGGCCCGGACCCTCTTTGTGCTGCCGGCCTTCGAGCTGCGGGGCTCGGGGCCGCCCCCGGGCTCCAAGGCGGAGCTGCTGCGGCTGTGGGGCGCGGGCGAGGCCCGGCCGTTCTATGGGGCGCTGTGCCCGCGCTGCCAGGCCCCCACCGCCTTCGGCCGCTGGCGGGCGCTGCCCCCGGGCCCCCCGGGCGCCCCCCGGCTGCGCGTGGCCTACGAGGTGCCCTGGAGGGACCCCTGGGAGCCGTTCTACGTGGCCCCCGCCCGCGGCGTGCCGCCCTTCGACGAGGGCTTCCTGCAGTACGGCTTCAACCGCATCAGCCAGGTGGGGAACGGGGGAAATGGGGGTCTGGGGGGGAAATGGGAGGGCTTTGAGGGTCTGGGGGGGCTTCAACCGCATCAGCCAGGTCAGGGATGGGGAAAATGGGGGGAGTTGGGGGGCTTGGGGGGGCTTCAACTGCATCAGCCAGGTGGGGAACGGGGGGAAACAGGGAGTGGGAGGGGGTTTGGGGGGGCTTGGGGGTCATGGGGTGGGCATAGTGACCTTGGGGGGGTCATGGTGGCCGTGGGGTGGTCTTGGGGTCATGGGGTGACCATGGGGTTGCCACGGGGGCTGGGGGCGCTGCTCTGTGGGGTCTGAGGGGGTCTCTGGGTGCTTGGGGGGGTCTGTGAGGGTCTGGGTGTGACCCCCCGTTGCCCCCTCCCCAGGCCTGCGAGCTGCACGTGGCCGGGTTCCGGTTTGCAGTGCTGGATGGGGCCTGGGTCACCCACCGGGGCTGGAAGGAGCCGGGCGGGTTCCACGCGGGGCGCGAGGCCGAGCTGGGCCGCAACCGGCAGCGCTTCCGGGAGTTCAAACGGGGACTCAAACTGAAATATCCTGAATCTGACCGACGGTGCTGAGCTCACCTGGGACACCTGAACACACCTGGGAACAGCTGAGACACAGCTGAACACACCTGGGGTCAGCAGGTTCCACCAGGCCAAGCTGGGCCGCAACCGGCAGCGCTTCCGGCTTCCGGGAGTTCAAACGGGGGCTCAAACTGAAATATCCCGACTCTGACCAGGGCTGCTGAGCTCACCTGGGACAGCTGAACACACCTGGGACAGCTGAACACACCTGGGACAGCTCAAGACCTTCCAATGGACACCTGGGGACTCTCTTATGGCCATTTCGGGACACACCTGGAGACACCTGAGGACTCTTCAGTGGACATTTGGGGACACCTAACACAGCTGAGGACCTGCCAGGACAGCTGGGGACTCACCTAGGACACCTGGGGTCCCTCCATGGACATTTGGGGACACCTGGGGACACCTGGACGCCCCGTGGACATGGGCGTGACCGTCCCTCAGTAAACATGGCCACCTACCCATGATGCCTCTGTGTGGGTGATGTCACGGGGGCGGGGCGAGCAGCTGTCTCCAGTCCGGACCAGTAACGCCCAGTCCGGACCAGTAAAACCCAGCGCGCGAGGCCGAGACCGCGCCCGGGTTGTTTACCACGGTAAACTACAGCTCCCAGCACGCATCGGGCGCAAACATGGCCGAGCTTCCGCCGCTATTTAAAAACCACAGCTCCCAGGATGCCTCGGAAAAAATGGCCTTCACGCCACTTCCTGTTTTGCATTGAAATTTGAACTTCAATTCCCATAATGCATCGGAAGGACGGGGCCGGAAGTGGTGGTGATTTATGGGACTACAACTCCCGTCATGCACTAAGGCAACATGGCCGACTTCTGGGCCGCCATTTCATGGGGGTGAGGCGCAGCAGCGCCCCCTGGCGGGCGGGAGGACCAAAATGGGGGGAGGGGATTTTGGGGAGGGGGAGGGAACAGAAAAAGCCGGGGGGGGGGGAGGGGCGATGGGAGGAGGGAAAACAATCCCAAATTTGGGAGGGGGCGGGGCCCTGAAATTCGACGTGGGGGGAGGGGACAGGGTCCCAAATTTTTTGGGGGGGTTTGGGACACCCAAATCCAGCGGGAGGATCCGATTGGAGCGAAAATTCCCAAATTTGAGCCCAAAAAACCCCAGAATGACCCAAAGTGCACTAAAGTCGCGGTTAATAAACAAATTTTATTTGCGTTTTCCACCCCGGATTTTCTCCTGTTAATCGGCGTTAAAGTGCTGCAAAGGGAAAAGGTTTCTTCCATTCTCTGAGGGTTATTTATTTATTTTTTTAATTTTTATTTTTATTTTAATTTATTTAAACTTCTCCCCAAAAAATATTCCTCATAAACAAAACTTTACCCCGGACGATCCTTTTAAACTTTGGGGATAAACGAGACGGAAATTTATCAAATTATAGTACAAAGGATGTAACAAATACCACAAAAAAACAGTCATAAAACAGCTTAAAAAAAGGAAAATAAAATAAAAATGAAATAAAAATAAAATAAAAATAAACCCTCGGGAGCGGCTCTGGGCTGGCTCTGTCCTGCCGGAGTCATTCGAGCTCCGGGTCTTGTGCCACGGATGGAATTTCCCAGCTCAGGGGACACTGATCCACTTCAGAGGTCACAGTTCTGATCTTTGGTTTGTTTTTAGGAATAAATCCATGTTTTTTGCTTTATTTTTAATAATAAACCCACGGCTTTGGTTTATTTTAGTAATAAATCCATGGTTTTGGTTTGTTTTATATAATAAATCCTTATTTTTTTGGTTCATTTTATGTAATAAGTACATTTTCTTTGGATTATTTTATTAATAAATCCATATTTATTGGTTTATTTTATTAATACATCCATATTTTGGTTTATTTTATTAATAAATCCATATATTTATTTATTTTAGTAATAAATCCACTTTCTTTTTGTTTATTCTGCTCAATAAATCCACATTTTTTGGGTTTATTTCTTTGACTAAATCCATTTAATTATAATTTTTAATTCTTCCCATTTTCTTGGTTTATTTTCTTAACAGATCCAATATTGCCTCTGTTAATTCTTTAATTTATTTTTATATTAATTTCGGAAATAAATAATTTTATAAATAGATCCACATTTTTACTTTTTTTTTTTTTAGTAATTCCTATTTATTTGGTTTATTTTTTTGGGTAAATCCATATTTTTGCTTTTATTTAATATGGTTTTGGTTAGGTTTATTTTTAAATAAAAAATTCACAGTTTGGGTTACTTTTTTAGTAAAAAATCCACAGTTCAGGTTGGTTTTTTAATAAAAAATCCACAGTTTTGGTTTCATTTCTTTCGCAAACTAAAAAAACCCCAAATTTTGAGTAAGTCCATCGACCCAGCAGAACCTCCAGCCCCGCAAAAAAAAAAAAAAGAAAAAAAAAAAAAGAAAAAAGCCAAAAAAAAGTTTGAAACAGAGGAAAAAAAAAAAAAATTCATTTCCGCGAACCAAACACTGAAAATATTTGGGGGAGAGGAGGGAGGAATAAAACGGGAGACACAAAAATAAACACCAATAAAAATATAAAAAAAGAAAAAAAAGAAAAAAAAGAAAAAAAAGAAAAAAAAAGATAAATGGGAGAGAAGAAGCTCTTGGCATGGGGGGGGGAGGGACCCCAAAATCCGGGGGGAGGGGGGACCCCCAGCCCCTCCCCCCACTCTGTACATGTGGGGGTCCCTCGGGGCAGGGCTATGTACAACCCCCCCCAGGGTCACTGCTGACCACTGCAAGGGTCACTCATGGCCACTGCAGGGGTCACTCATGGCCTCCTGGTGGGGATCCCAGGTGGTCACTCATGGCCTCCAGGTGGTCACTCCCCCAGCGGTCACTCCCTGACCCCGCCGGCGGTCACTCCTTGCGTTTGGCCACGGCCAGCTCCAGCCCCGGCAGCCGGACCCCGGCGCGGGCGCCGCCCTCGGACGACGACGACGACGACGAGAGCCGGGCGGGCTGGGGCGGCGGCGATGACCCGCCCTCGTGCCCGGGGGTCACCTCGTAGCTGCCCTTGCCCTTGGAGCCGATGCCCCCGAAGGTCCCGAATTTGCCGCGGGGCTGCCGGGCGCCCTCGGGCTCGGCCTCGCTGAAGGACGACGAGCGCGGCCGCGCCTTCTTGCCGCGGAACAGCGAGAACTTGGCCTTGCCCGCGGGCGCCTCGGCCTCCAGCTCGCCCTCCAGGCTGCCCTTGGAGCCGGACACGGAGCCGGACGCGGAGCCGGACGCGGCCTCGGGGGACCCCGGGGTGATGCCACCACCGCCAGCCCGGCCTTTCTGCTTGGAGAAGTTGAACTTGGGCATCTTGATCTTGGATCTCTTGAGCCGCGCCTCGGCCTCGTCCGGCTCGGCCTCGGGGAACTCGACGTCCACGCCGACCTCGCGGCCCTTGGGCTCGGGCTCCGAGAAGACGAATTTGGGCATGCGGAGCTTGGGGAAGGACACCTTGACCTGGCCGCCCTCGGCGCCCAGCCTGGGGCAGGAGGCGTGGAACGTTCCGGAAGCGGCGCTGACCGACGGCGGCGTGGCCTCAACGCCGCCCTTGACCTTCGGCCCCTTCACGTTGAGGTTCAGCCCCGAGCCGGACACTTCCACGGCCGGAGCCTCCAGGTGGATGCCGACCCCTCCGTGAGGGGCGTCCACGCTGACCTTTGACCCTTTGATGTCACCGGCCACGTCCACGTTTGGTCCTTTCAGCCTCAGGTCGGCGTCGGGCGAGGAGAATTTCGGCCCTTTCAGCTCCACCTCGGGGCCTTCCAGCGCCCCCTTGACCTGGGGGCCCTCCAGAGCGACCCCCGCGTCCCCGCCGGGGCTGGCGATGCTGAATTGGGGCAACTTCAGCGAGGGCAGCTTGATGGTGCCCCCCAGAATCTCAAACCCGGCGTCGTCCGATGACACCTGGGGGGCTTTGACGCCCACCTCTCCTTTCACCTTTGGTCCTTTCGTGCTGACATCCACATCCAGGCCGGACACGTCCAGCGAGGGCCCCTGCAGGTCCAGGCCGGCCCCCGGGGACTGGACGGAGCAGGGGCCGCCCCCCTGGACCTCCAGAGTCGGGGTCTTCACCGTGGGCAGCTTCACCTTGCCCCCGAGGCCGCCGAGGTCCAGGCCCACGCCAGGCCCTTCCACGGAGCCCGAAATGTCCAAATCTCCCTTTAGTTTTGGTCCTTTCAGGTTCCCCTCCAGCTCAGCTCCGGAGATCTGGGGCCCTTTGAGCTTCACGTCCAGCTCTGAGCTCACGTCCGGCACTTCCAGCCCCAGACCCGCTCTGCCCCCCTTGGGCCACCCCAGGCTGACCTTGGGACCTTCCAGTTGCGCTCCGCCCATGCCGACCTCACCTTTCACCTTTGGTCCTTTCACCTCGACGCCGACCCCGGGGGGGCCCTTCAGCTGCCCCCCGACATTCACGTCCCCCGCGCCCACCTGGACCCCGGGCAGTTTCAATTTTGGGCTCTTCAGGTTCACCTCGGAGCCCTCCACGTCCACGTTGAGGTCGCCCTTGAGGTCGCCCTTGGCCTCCAGATCGCCCTCGACTTTCGGGGCCTCCCCACGGAATTTGTGCGATTTCAGGTCGAACTCGACGTCCGGGAAGGAGATCTTCCCAAACATGGGTTTCTTGCCCTTGGGGGATTTCACGGCGGCGCTTCCGCCCGCGGCGACGTCGGGGCCGCTGAGCTCCGCGTCCGGCTCGGCGCCGGCCACGCTCACCTCGAACGCGCCCTTCTTGCCCTTCACTTTGGGGCCGCTCATGTGGATTTTGGGCATCTTGAACTTGCTCTTCTTGCCCTTCGCGGCCAGGTGCGCCTCGGGGGACTCCACGCTCAGCTCCGCCTCGGGTAAATCCAGCTCGGCCTTGGGGGTCTTCATGCCGAACCCAAATTTGGACTTTTTGAACTTGGGAGCTTTGATGTTGGCTTCTGGGACCTCCACGTTCACATCGGGACATTCAACGTCAACTTCGGGGCCTTTGATCCCAAATTCTGGGCCTTTCACCCCAAATTCTGGGCCTTTGAGCTCGACCTCGGGGCCCTTCAGGTGACCTTCCACCTTGGGGGTGGAAATGTCAAAGCCACCCTTTGTTTTGTGGCCTTTCAGGTTCAAGTCTATCTCGGGCATGGAGATTTTGGGGACGTTCACGTGCATTTCGGGCATTTTCAGTTTAGGCCCTTTCACTTTGCCCTCCGGACCTTCAACGTTGACCTCTGGCAGGCTGAGATCGACCTTGGGCCCAGACAGATCCACCTCGGCCTTGGGCAGATTAACGTCCACCTCGGGGCCTTCGCCCTTCAAGCCAAATTTGGGCATTTTCATTTTGGGCAGCTTCACCTTCCCCTCCAGGCCATCGACGTCGACCGCGGGGCCCTCGATGTCCACCTTGGGGCCTTTGATGTCCAGATCGGGCCCCTTGAGGCCCCCCTCGAGCTTGGGGCCGTGCAGGTCAGCGTCACCTTTGACCTTCAGCCCCTTCAGGTTCAGGTCAATGTCCGGCATGGAGATCTGGGGGGTCTTGACGTGAATTTCGGGCATCTTCAACTTGGGCCCTTCCAGGGTTACATCCGGGGCCTGAATGTCCACCCTGGGGCCCTTGAGGTCAACATCTGGGCACTGCAGGTTCCCCTCCAGCTTCGGGGCAGAGACATCAACATCACCCTTCAGTTTGGGGCCTTTGAGATTGAAATCGACGTCGGGCATGGAGATCTTGGGGGCTTTGATGTGCATCTCGGGCATCTTGAACTTGGGGCCTTTGATCTTCCCCTCTGGGCCCTCAATGTCCACACTCGGCATCTCAACGTCCACCTTGGGGCCGGACACATCCAGGTCTCCTTTCGGGAGGCTCACGTCCACCTCAGGGCCTTCTGCCTTGACCCCAGACATCCCAAATTTGGGCATTTTGAACTTGGGCATCTTGAATTTCCCTTCTGGGCCGTGAATGTCCACGTCAGGAGCCTCAATGTCCACCATGGGGCCCTTGATGTCGATGTCTGGGGCTTTCAGGTCACCCTCCAGCTTGGGAGCCGAGACATCAATGTCCCCCTTGATTTTGGGGCCCTTCAGGTTGAAATCAACATCAGGCATGGAGATCTTGGGGGCCTTGATGTGCATCTCGGGCATCTTGAACTTGGGCCCTTTGATCTTCCCCTCGGGCCCTTCCAGCTCCACATCAGGGAGATCCACATCAACTTTGGGGCCCTTGATATCGATGTCTGGGGCCTTCAGGTCTCCTTCCAGCTTGGGACCAGAAACATCAATGTCCCCCTTCAATGTGGGGCCCTTCAGGTTCAGGTCAAAGTCGGGCATGGAGATCTTGGGGGCTTTGATGTGCATCTCGGGCATCTTGAACTTGGGACCCTTCGCCTTCCCCTCTGGGAGAGCAATGTCCACCTCTGGCCCCTCAGTGTCCACCCTGGGGCCGGACACATCCAGGTTTCCTGAGGGCAGGTTCACATCCACCTCGGGGCCTTCCACTTTGGGCCCAGAAAAGCCGAATTTGGGCATCTTGAACTTGGGCATTTTGATTTTCCCTTCTGGGCCGTGAATGTCCACGTGTGGCACATCAACATCCACTTTGGGGCCCTTGATATCAATTTCAGGGCCCTTCAGGTCACCTTGCAGCTTGGGGACAGAGACGTCAATGTCGCCCTTGACTTTGGGGCCCTTCAGGTTGAAATCAACATCAGGCATGGAGATCTTGGGGGCCTTGATGTGCATCTCGGGCATCTTGAACTTGGGCCCTTTGATCTTCCCCTCGGGACCTTCCAGCTCTACATCAGGGAGATCAACATCGACTTTGGGGCCCTTGATGTCGATGTCTGGGGCTTTCAGGTCACCCTCGAGCTTTGGAGCAGAGACATCGATGTCTCCTTTCAGTTTGGGGCCTTTGAGGTTGAAATCAACGTCGGGCATGGAGATCTTGGGGGCCTTGATGTGCATCTCGGGCATCTTGAACTTGGGGCCCTTCACCTTCCCCTCTGGCAGCTCCACGTCCACATCTGGACCTTCAATGTCCACCTTGGGGCCGGACACATCCAGGTCTCCTTTCGGGAGGTTCACGTCCACCTCGGGGCCTTCTCCCTTCAGCCCAAATTTGGGCATTTTGAACTTGGGCATCTTGAATTTCCCCTCAGGCCCGTGAATGTCCACGTCAGGTGCCTCAATGTCCACTTTGGGACCCTTGATGTCGATGTCTGGGGCTTTCAGGTCACCCTCCAGTTTTGGAAGGGACACGTCCACATCACATTTGACTTTGGGGCCCTTCAGGTTGAAATCAACGTCAGGCATGGAGATCTTGGGGGCCTTGATGTGCATCTCGGGCATCTTGAACTTGGGGCCTTTGATCTTCCCCTCGGGACCTTCCAACTCCACATCAGGGAGGTCAACATCGACTTTGGGGCCTTTGATGTCGATGTCTGGGGCCTTCAGGTCTCCTTCCAGCTTGGGACCAGAAACATCAATGTCCTCCTTCAATTTGGGGCCCTTCAGGTTCAGGTCAAAGTCGGGCATGGAGATCTTGGGGGCTTTGATGTCCATCTCGGGCATCTTGAACTTGGGGCCTTTGATCTTCCCTTCAGGGCCCTCAATTTGAACATCTGGGGCAGAAACATCGAATTCGGGGCCTTTCACATCCACCTTTGGCCCTTTAAGGTCTCCTTCCACGCTGGGCAGGGACACGCCCACGTCTCCCTTCACTTTGGGGCCTTTCATGTTGAGATCAAAGTCTGGCATGGAGATCTTGGGGGCCTTGACGTGCATCTCAGGCATCTTGAACTTGGGGCCTTTGATCTTCCCCTCTGGCCCTTCCAGATCAACATCGGGGAGGTCCACATCGACTTTGGGGCCCTTAAGGTCAATTTCGGGTCCTTTCAGGTCTCCTTCCATCTTGGGGACAGAGACATCAACGTCCCCCTTCAGTTTGGGGCCTTTGAGATTCAAATCAATGTCGGGCATGGAGATCTTGGGGGTCTTAAAATGCATCTCGGGCATCTTGAACTTGGGACCCTTCACCTTCCCCTCTGGCAGCTCCACATCCACATCTGGACCTTCAATGTCCACCTTGGGGCTGGACACATCCAGGTCTCCTTTCGGGAGGTTCACGTCCACCTCGGGGCCTTCTCCCTTCAGCCCAAATTTGGGCATTTTGAACTTGGGCATCTTGAATTTCCCCTCTGGACCGTGAATGTCCACGTCAGGTGCCTCAATGTCCACTTTGGGGCCCTTGATGTCGATGTCTGGGGCTTTAAGGTCACCCTCCAGCTTTGGAGCAGAAACATCGATGTCCCCCTTGGTTTTGGGGCCTTTCAGGTTGAAATCAACATCAGGCATGGAGATCTTGGGGGCCTTGATGTGCATCTCGGGCATCTTGAACTTGGGCCCTTTGATCTTCCCCTCGGGCCCCTCAATGTCCACCTCTGGCCCTTCAATGTCCACTTTGGGGCCTTTGATGTCAACGTCCGGCAAGCTCAGGTCTCCCTCGATTTTTGGTGCAGACAGATTGATGTCGGCCCCCCCTTTGACCTTGGACCTTTCAGGTTGAGGTCCAGGTCCGGCATGGACAGGTTGGGGGCTTTGATGTTCATCTCGGGCATTTTGAATTTGGGGCCTTTGATTTTCCCTTTCGGGCCCTCGATGTCGATGTCGGGAACCTCCACGTCCACATTGGGTCCCTTCAGGTCCACCTGGGGCAGGGACACGTCCACGTCCCCCTTGACCTTGGGGCCCTTCAGGTTGAGGTCGATGTCGGGCATGGAGATCTTGGGGGCTTTGATGTGCATCTCGGGCATCTTGAACTTGGGCCCTTTGATCTTCCCCTCCGGCCCCTCAATGTCCACCTCTGGACCTTCAATGTCCACTTTAGGACCGGACGCATCCAGTTCTCCTGTGGGCAGGTTCACGTCCACTTCTGGCCCCTCCCCTTTGAACCCAGGAACCCCAAATTTGGGCATTTTGAACTTGGGCATTTTGATTTTCCCCTCCGGGCCGTGAACGTCCACGTCGGGGGCCTCGATGTTGACCTTGGGGCCCTTGATGTCCACCTCAGGACCCTTCAGCTCCCCCTCCAGTTTGGGGGTGGACAGGTCAAACTCCCCCTTCATCTTGTGCCCCTTCAGGTTCAGCTCCACATCCGGCATCGACATTTTGGGTGAAGAAATGTTCAGAAAAGGCATTTTGAATTTGGAGCCCTTGGATTTTCCCTGCACATCCAAATCCGGACCCTGGACCTCGACTCTGGGGCCGGACAGCTCCACCTCAGGCTTTTTAACCTTCACATCCACCTCGGGGCTCTGAACTTTTGGGCCAGAAAAGCCAAACTTGGGGAGTTTAAACCTGGATTTTTTAGCTTTTCCTTCCAGGTCCACCTTCGGCCCCTCCAGCTCCAGCTCCGGCCCTTTGATGTCCACTTTGGGGCCCTTCAGCTCACCCTCCACCCTGGGCAGAGAAGCATCGAGGTCACCTTTGAGCTTGGGGCCCTTCAGGTTGAGGTCGATGTCAGGCATGGAGATCTTGGGGACGTTGAACTGCAGCTCCGGCTTCTTCAGCTTGGGCCCCTTCAGTTTCCCCTCGGGGCCCTCAATGTCCAGCTCGGGGACAGAAACGTCGACTTTTGGACCCGAAATGTTGACCTCGGCCTCGGGGAGATTCATGTCCACCTCGGGGCCTTCCACTTTGGGCCCAGAAAAGCCGAATTTGGGCATCTTGAACTTGGGCATTTTGATTTTCCCTTCTGGGTCGTGAATGTCCAGGTCGGGTGCTTCAATGTCCACCTTGGGGCCTTTGATGTCCAGTTCTGGGCCCTTCAGGTCACCTTCCAGCTTGGGGACAGAGACATCGACGTCTCCCTTTAATTTGGGGCCTTTGAGGCTGAAGTCGACATCGGGCATGGAGATCTTGGGGGCCTTGATGTGCATCTCGGGCATCTTGAACTTGGGCCCTTTGATCTTCCCCTCGGGCCCTTCTAAATCAACATCAGGGAGATCCACATCGACTTTGGGGCCCTTGAGGTCAATTTCTGGGGCTTTCAGGTCACCCTCGAGCTTTGGAGCAGAGACATCGATGTCTCCTTTCAGTTTGGGGCCTTTGAGGTTGAAGTCAACGTCAGGCATGGAGATCTTGGGGGCCTTGATGTGCATCTCGGGCATCTTGAACTTGGGGCCCTTCACCTTCCCCTCTGGGAGATCAATGTCCACATCTGGACCTTCCATGTCCACCTTGGGGCCGGACACATCCAGGTTTCCTGTCGGGAGGTTCACGTCCACCTCAGGACCTTCTACCTTGACTCCGGGCATCCCAAATTTGGGCATTTTGAACTTGGGGAACTTTATTTTTCCCTCAGGCCCGTGAATGTCCACATCTGGAACATCAACGTCGACTTTGGGACCCTTGATGTCCAGTTCAGGCCCCTTCAGGTCACCTTCCAGCTTGGGGACAGAGACGTCGATGTCACCTTTGACTTTGGGGCCCTTCAGGCTGAAGTCGACGTCGGGCATGGAGAACTTGGGGGCTTTGATGTGCATCTCGGGCATCTTGAACTTGGGGCCTTTGATCTTCCCCTCAGGACCTTCCAAATCAACATCAGGGAGATCAACATCGACTTTGGGGCCCTTGATGTCGATGTCTGGGGCTTTCAGGTCACCCTCGAGCTTTGGAGCAGGGACATCGATGTCTCCTTTCAGTTTGGGGCCTTTGAGGTTGAAATCAACGTCGGGCATGGAGATCTTGGGGGCCTTGATGTGCATCTCGGGCATCTTGAACTTGGGGCCCTTCACCTTCCCCTCTGGCAGCTCCACGTCCACATCTGGACCTTCAATGTCCACCTTGGGGCCAGACACGTCCAGGTTTCCTGTCGGGAGGTTCACGTCCACCTCAGGGCCTTCTATCTTGACCCCTGGCATCCCAAATTTGGGCATTTTGAACTTGGGGAATTTTATTTTTCCTTCTGGGCCGTGAATGTCCACATCTGGAACATCAACGTCCACTTTGGGACCCTTGATGTCCAGTTCAGGCCCCTTCAGTTCACCCTCCATCTTTGGAAGGGACACGTCCATGTCGCCCTTGACCTTGTGGCCTTTCAAGCCGAAGTCAACATCAGGCATGGAGAACTTGGGTGCCTTGATGTGCATCTCGGGCATCTTGAACTTGGGCCCTTTGATCTTCCCCTCGGGACCTTCCAGCTCCACATCAGGGAGGTCCACATTGACTTTGGGGCCCTTGATGTCCAGTTCAGGCCCCTTGAGGTCTCCTTCAACTTTGGGAAGGGAAACATCGACATCGCCCTTGACCTTGGGGCCCTTCAGGTGCAGGTCGATGTCGGGCATGGAGATCTTGGGGGTCTTAAAATGCATCTCGGGCATCTTGAACTTGGGGCCCTTCACCTTCCCCTCTGGGAGGTCAATGTCCACATCTGGACCTTCAATGTCCACCTTGGGGCCGGACACATCCAGGTCTCCTTTTGGCAGGTTCACGTCCACCTCAGGGCCTTCTCCCTTCAGCCCAAATTTGGGCATTTTGAACTTGGGCATCTTGAATTTCCCCTCAGGCCCATGAATGTCCACGTCAGGTGCCTCAATGTCCACTTTGGGGCCCTTGATGTTGATGTCTGGGGCTTTCAGGTCACCCTCCAGCTTGGGAGCTGAGACATCAATGTCCCCCTTGACTTTGGGGCCCTTCAGGTTGAAATCAACATCAGGCATGGAGATCTTGGGGGCCTTGATGTGCATCTCGGGCATCTTGAACTTGGGGCCTTTGATCTTCCCCTCGGGACACTCCAGCTCCATGTCCGGGAGGTCCACATTGACTTTGGGCCCCTTGATGTCGATGTCTGGGGCCTTCAGGTCTCCCTCAAGCTTTGGAGCAGAAACATCGACATCTCCCTTCAGTTTGGGGCCCTTCAGGTTCAGGTCGATGTCAGGCATGGAGATCTTTGGGGCTTTGATGTGCATCTCGGGCATCTTGAACTTGGGGCCCTTAAGTTTCCCCTCAGGACACTCCAGGTCAACGTCAGGGAGGTTGACATCAACTTTGGGGCCTTTGACATCCAATTCAGGCCCCTTCAGGTCCCCTTCCAGCTTGGGAGCAGAAACATCGATGTCCCCCTTGACTTTGGGGCCCTTCAGGTTGAGATCAAAGTCGGGCATGGAGATCTTGGGGGCCTTGAAGTGCATCTCGGGCATCTTGAACTTGGGGCCTTTGATCTTCCCCTCGGGACACTCCAGCTCCACGTCAGGAACCTCAACGTCCACTTTTGGACCTTTCAGTGAAACCTCTGGCCCTTTCAGGTCCCCTTCGAGCTTCGGCACAGACACATCGACGTCGCCTTTGACCTTGGGGCCCTTCAGGTTCAGATCAAAGTCAGGCATGGAGATCTTGGGGGCCTTGAAGTGCATCTCGGGCATCTTGAACTTGGGGCCCTTCACCTTCCCCTCTGGGAGCTCAATGTCCACATCAGGAGCTTCAATGTCCACCTTGGGACCTTTGATGTCCACGTCTGGGCCCTTCAGGTCACCCTCCAGTTTTGGGGCAGAAATGTCCATGTCCCCCTTCAGTTTGGGGCCCTTCAGGTTGAGGTCAATGTCGGGCATGGAGATCTTGGGGGTTTTGAAATGCATTTCGGGCATCTTGAACTTGGGGCCTTTGATCTTCCCCTCGGGGCACTCCAGGTCGACGTCGGGGAGCTCCACATTGACCTTGGGGCCTTTGATGTCGACATCTGGGGCCTTCAAATCTCCCTCGATTTTCGGGACAGCCACATCCACATCTCCCTTGACTTTGGGGCCCTTCAGGTTGAGATCAAAGTCGGGCATGGAGATCTTGGGGGCCTTGAAATGCATCTCGGGCACCTTGAACTTGGGGCCTTTGATCTTCCCCTCGGGGCCCTCCAGCTCCACGTCGGGCACATCCACGTCCACTTTGGGTCCTTTCAGCTCCAGATCCGTCACTTTCACGTCACCTTCTATCTTTGGGGCAGACACGCCCACGTCTCCCTTCACTTTGGGACCTTTCAGGTGCAGGTCGACATCAGGCAGTGAAAACTTCGGCGCCTTGATGTTCATCTCAGGCATCTTCAGCTTGGGTCCCTTCCACTTCCCCTCGGGACCTTCAACGTCCACCTCAGGAATGTCCACATCTAGCTTGGGACCTTTAATGTTCACATCTGGACCCTTCAGGTCACCCTCCAACTTGGGGACGGAGACATCAACGCCCCCCTTGACTTTGGGACCTTTCAGGTTCAGGTCGATGTCAGGCATGGAGATCTTGGGGGCTTTGATGTGCATCTCGGGCATCTTGAACTTGGGGCCTTTGATCTTCCCTTCTGGCAGCTCCACGTCCACCTCTGGACCTTCCATGTCCACCTTGGGGCCGGACACATCCAGGTTTCCTGTCGGGAGGTTCACGTCCACCTCAGGGCCTTCTGCCTTGACCCCGGGCATCCCAAATTTGGGCATTTTGAACTTGGGCATCTTGAATTTTCCTTCTGGACCATGGATGTCCACATCTGGTGCCTCAACATTGACTTTGGGGCCTTTGATGTCCAGTTCAGGCCCCTTCAGGTCACCTTCCAGCTTGGGGACGGAGACATCAACGCCCCCCTTGACCTTGGGGCCCTTCAGGTTCAGGTCGATGTCGGGCATGGAGATCTTGGGGGCCTTGATGTTCATCTCGGGCATCTTGAACTTGGGGCCTTTGATCTTCCCTTCAGGGGCCTCAATGTCCACACTCGGCATCTCAACGTCCACCTTGGGGCCAGACACATCCAGGTCTCCTTTTGGCAGGTTCACGTCCACCTCAGGGCCTTCTCCCTTCAGCCCAAATTTGGGCATTTTGAACTTGGGCATCTTGAATTTCCCCTCAGGTCCGTGAATGTCCACGTCAGGTGCCTCAATGTCCACCTTAGGGCCCTTGATGTCGATGTCTGGGGCCTTCAGGTCACCCTCCAGCTTGGGAGCTGAAACATCAATGTCCCCCTTGATTTTGGGGCCTTTCAGGTTGAAATCAACATCAGGCATGGAGATCTTGGGGGCCTTGATGTGCATCTCGGGCATCTTGAACTTGGGCCCTTTGATCTTCCCCTCGGGACCTTCCAGCTCCACATCAGGGAGATCAACATCGACTTTGGGGCCCTTGATGTCGATGTCTGGGGCTTTCAGGTCTCCTTCAACTTTGGGAAGGGAAACATCAACGTCCCCCTTCAGTTTGGGGCCTTTGAGATTCAAATCAATGTCGGGCATGGAGATCTTGGGGGTCTTAAAATGCATCTCGGGCATCTTGAACTTGGGACCCTTCACCTTCCCCTCTGGCAGCTCCACATCCACATCTGGACCTTCAATGTCCACCTTGGGGCCGGACACATCCAGGTCTCCTTTCGGGAGGCTCACGTCCACCTCAGGGCCTTCTCCCTTCAGCCCAAATTTGGGCATTTTGAACTTGGGCATCTTGAATTTTCCTTCTGGACCATGAATGTCCATGTCAGGTGCCTCAATGTCCACTTTGGGGCCCTTGATGTCGATGTCTGGGGCTTTCAGGTCACCCTCCAGCTTTGGAGCAGAAACATCGATGTCTCCTTTGACTTTGGAGTCTTTTAGGTTGAAATCAACATCAGGCATGGAGATCTTGGGGGCTTTGATGTGCATCTCGGGCATCTTGAACTTGGGGCCTTTGATCTTCCCCTCTGGCCCCTCAATGTCCACACTCGGCATCTCAACGTCCACCTTGGGGCCGGACACATCCAGGTCTCCTTTTGGCAGGTTCACGTCCACCTCGGGGCCTTCTCCCTTCAGCCCAAATTTGGGCATCTTGAACTTGGGCATCTTGAATTTCCCCTCAGGCCCGTGAATGTCCACGTCAGGTGCCTCAATGTCCACCTTGGGGCCTTTGATGTCGATGTCTGGGGCTTTCAGGTCACCCTCGAGCTTTGGGACAGAGACATCAACGTCCCCCTTCACTTTGGGGCCTTTGAGATTCAAATCAATGTCGGGCATGGAGATCTTGGGGGTCTTAAAATGCATCTCGGGCATCTTGAACTTGGGGCCCTTCACCTTCCCCTCTGGCAGCTCCACGTCCACATCTGGACCTTCAATGTCCACCTTGGGGCCGGACACATCCAGGTTTCCTGTCGGGAGGTTCACGTCCACCTCAGGGCCTTCTCCCTTCAGCCCAAATTTGGGCATTTTGAACTTGGGCATCTTGAATTTTCCTTCTGGACCATGAATGTCCACGTCAGGTGCCTCAATGTCCACCTTGGGGCCTTTGATGTCCAGTTCAGGGCCCTTCAGGTCACCCTCAAGCTTTGGAAGGGACACATCCACGTCCCCCTTGACCTTGGGGCCCTTGAGGTTGATGTCCACGTCAGGCAAGGAGATCTTCTGAGTCTTGATGTGCATCTCAGGCATCTTGAACTTGGGCCCTTTGATCTTCCCCTCGGGCCCCTCCAAATCCACGCTGGGCACCTCCACGTCCACCTTCGGCCCTTCAATGTCCACTTCTGGAGCTTTCAACTCCCCTTCCACCTTGGGGAGGGACACGTCCACGTCTCCCTTCACTTTGGGTCCCTTCAGGTTCAAATCCACATCCGGCATTGAGATTTTGGGGGATTTGATGTTGAGTTTGGGCATCCGGAATTTGGGACCTTTCACTTTCCCTTCTGGACACTCCAAGTCCACCTCGGGCACGTCCACGTCCACCTTGGGACCTTCCACATCCACCTTGGGACCTTCCACATCCAACCTGGGACCTTTCACATCGATTTTGGCACTTTCTACATCCACCTTGGGGCCTTTCACGTCCATTTTTGGGCCCTTCAGCCCAGAAATTCCGAGGTCCCCTTTGAGTTTCGGGGCCTTCAAGCCCAGATCCACGTCGGGCATGGAGAGTTTTGGGGTCTGAACATTGAGTTCGGGCATTTTGAACTTGAGGCCTTTCCCTTTGACCTCCGGCCCTTCCAGGTTCACGCTGGGGACGTCGATGTCCACCTTGGGGGCAGAAATGTCCATTTTGGGGGCGGAAATGTCCATCTTGGGGACATCAATGTCCACCTTGGGGGCAGAAATGTCCACCCCCCCTTTGGGAAGGGTCACCTCGAGCTCGGGGCTCTCTCCCTTCACCCCAAATTTGGGCATTTTCATCTTGGGGAACTTCAGTTTGCCCTCAGGCCCTTGGACGTCCAAATTTGGGGCTTCAACCTCGACTTTGGGCCCTTTGAGGTCCAGTCCGGGGGTCTTCAGCTCCCCTTCCAGTTTTGGGGCGGAAACGTCCAAATCTGCCTTGACTTTGGGCCCTTTGAGGCTCAGGTCGATGTCGGGCATGGAGATCTGGGGGGTTTTGATGCCCACCTCGGGCACCTTCACCTTGGGGCCCTTCAGGTCCATGCTGGGGACCTCGACGGTGACACCAGGAGCCGAAACATCCACCCCCCCTTTGGGAAGGGTCACCTCGAGCTCGGGGCTCTCTCCCTTCACCCCAAATTTGGGCATTTTCATCTTGGGGAACTTCAGTTTGCCCTCGGGCCCTTGAACATCCAAATTTGGGGCTTCAACCTCGACTTTGGGCCCTTTGAGGTCCAGCTCTGGGCCCTTCAAACCCGGAATGGACACGTCCAGGTCGCCGCTGGCCTTGGCACCGTTCAGGGTCAGCTCCACATCCGGCACGGAGATTTTGGGGGCCTGGATGTCCAAACTCGGCGCCTCAACGTCCACCTTGGGGCCGGACACCTCCATGCCGCCCTTCGGGAGGTTCACGTCCAGCTCTGGACCTTCTGCCTTGACCCCGGGCATCCCAAATTTGGGCATTTTAAATTTGGGCATCTTGAATTTCCCCTCGGGGCCATGCACGTCCACTTCAGGTGCTTCAACGTCCACCTTGGGGCCCTTGATGTCCACGCTTGGGACACCGACGTCCACCTTGGGGCAGGAGACGTCCACCCCCCCTTTGGGAAGGGTCGCCTCGGCGCTGGGGGTCTCTCCCTTCACCCCAAATTTGGGCATTTTCAGCTTGGGGAACCTCAGTTTCCCCTCGGGGCTCTGGATCTCCATTTCTGGGCTCCCCACCTCCACTTTGGGGCCTTTGACATCCAGCCCGGGGCCCTTCAGCTCCCCTTCCAGTTTTGGGGCACCAACATCCACGTTTCCCTTCACTCCGGGCCCCTTGAGGCTCAGGTCGACGTCGGGCACGGACACCTCGGGGGTCTTGATGCCCATCTCGGGGCCTTTGATGTCCACTCCGGGCACCTCCACCCCAGTCTGGGGCCCTCTCAGGTCCAGCTGTGGCCCCCTCAATTTGCCCCCCAGGGTGGGCACAGCCACGTCCACTCCTCCCTTCGGCCCCTTCACGCCAATGTCCACCTCCACGCCCTTCAGGCCACCCCCAGGCCCGGCCACGTCCACCTGGAGCCCCTTGGGGCCGAGTCCTTTGGGGTCCCCTTCCCCTCTGGGGCCCCTCAGGTTCAGGTTCACGTCCGACAGCGAAATTTGGGGCGTTTCCACCTTCTTGAAGGTGGGGCCTTTCCATTCTTCCTCCAGGGCCACCTCGGGGCCGGCCACGCCCTCAGGGACGGCCACGCCCTTGGGGACAGCCACGCCCTTGGGGACATCCACGGTGGCGCCGCCGTCGCCCTGCGCGGTGAATTTGGGGAAGGTCAAGTGCGGGATTTTGATTTTCCCTTTTGTGCCATCCGTGGTTGGGATCTCCATGCTGGGGACGTCCAGCGGAGGGGAGGGGACCTTGGTGGCACCTTTGACCGCCACGTCCACCTGTGGCACCAGGGCGGGCGAGCAGGTGACGTCCACCCCAGCGTCCACCTGCGGGGCCGGAGCTTCACCACCGGCCTGGACCCCGAATTTGGGGATTTTTAACGTCGGGATCTTGATTTTCCCCACGTCCACGGAGGAGGAGCCGCCGAGCTCCCCGTGGGGACACGGAGCCCCTCCGGCCACGTGCAGTGACCCGTCCAGCTCTCCAAACTGTCCGTTGGCCTCCACGCGCGGCGAGGCCCCGGCGCCCTTCCAGCCCGGCAGGCATTTTCCAGTTTCTCCAGCAGGAATTTGGCTCAGGTGAAGCCCCTCAGGTGTCGCGGGCAGGCGGACATCGAGGTCGCCGTCGTGGCCGGAGACGTCCACGGTGTAGGCGGTGACCCTGCGGGTGACCGTGATGGTTCTGCTCTGCGTCCCCTCGGCCTCGGGGCCCTCCTCGGACCTGAGCCGCGGTTTGATCTTGGTGGTGTAGATGCGCCGGTACTCCTCGTCATCGCCACTCTGAGGGGGAGATTGTGAGAGCTGGATGGTGCTGCCTCCATGCGCCCATCATCATCATCATCATCATCATCGTCATCCCTATCCTCATCCCTATCCCCATTTCTGTCCTTGTCCTAATCCCCATCCCCATCCTCATCCTGTTCCTCATCCTCATCATCGCCGCTCTGCGGGCACGGAGATGGTGATGGTGAGAGCTGGATGGTGCTGCTTCCATGCGCCCAGCATCATCATCATCCTCTTTGTCATCCCCATCCTCATCCCCAACCCCATCCATGTCCTTATCTCCATCCTTATCTTCGTCCTCATCTTCCTTCTCATCCTTATTTTCAGCCTCATTCTCATCCTCACCATCTTTCCCATCCTCATCCTCATCACCTTCATCTTCATCCTTATCTTCATCCCCATCCCCATCCTCCTCCTTTCTTCCTCCTCCTCCTCCTCACTCACCAGCACGACCTCGGGGCTGCCGGGCACCAGCTCCAGCTGACCGCAGCCGTGTCCGGCGTGGCCGCAGGCGTGTCCGGCCGTGGGCGAGCGGTCGCCGCGCCGCTGCAGCCGCAGCCCCAGCGTGTGCTGGCCCAGGCTCTGCAGCAGCTGCGCCGCCTCCCCCGACGGCAGCTTGTCAAAGTAAACGGTGGCGCCGACGATCTGATCCCCTGGGGACACGGGGGGACATGAGGGGACACGGGTCAGGGGGCTGGGGACACCGGGAGAGACCCCCCATGACCACCCAAGTGATCCCCTGGGGACACCGGGGGGACACGGGGGGACGGGTCAGGGGGCTGGGGACACAGGGGTCACCATCCATGGGGACACGGGGGGACACCGGGGACACGGGTCAGGGGGCTGGGGACACCCCTGTGCCCACCCCAGTGACCCACAGGGACAGGGAGGACAGGGGGGACAGGTCAGGGTGCCAAGTGACCACGGGGTCACCACCCATGGGGACAGGGGGGACAGGGGGGATGGGTCAGGGGGCTGGGGACACTGGGATGGACCCCCCTGTGCCCACCTGAGTGACCGTGGTGTCACCATCCACGGGGACAGAGTCAGAAGCTCCTGAGATGCTCCCAGACCAGCCCAGGTGTGGGTGGAGCCCACAGGTGTGCCGTGCCCACCTTCCTGCACCACGCCCATGCCGCGAGCCCCCAGGTGTGGGTGGAGCCCCCAGGTGCCCCCAGGTGTGCCTGAGCCCCCAGGTGTGCCCAGGTGTGCCCCCAGGTGTGCCGTGCCCACCTTCCTGCACCACGCCCATGCCGCGAGCCCCCAGGTGTGGGTGGAGCCCCCAGGTGCCCCCAGGTGTGCCTGAGCCCCCAGGTGTGCCCAGGTGTGCCCCCAGGTGTGCCGTGCCCACCTTCCTGCACCACGCCCATGCCGCGAGCCCCCAGGTGCCCCCAGGTGTGCCTGAGCCCCCAGGTGTGCCGTGCCCACCTTCCTGCACCACGCCCATGCCGCGAGCCCCCAGGTGCCCCCAGGTGTGCCTGAGCCCCCAGGTGTGCCGTGCCCACCTTCCTGCACCACGCCCATGCCGCGAGCCCCCAGGTGCCCCCAGGTGTGCCTGAGCCCCCAGGTGTGCCGTGCCCACCTTCCTGCACCACGCCCATGCGCGCGGCCGGCGAGTTCTGCTGCACGCGGCGCACGAAGACGCCGTCGTCGGTCTGGGCGATGGTGATGCCGTGGGAGCCGCTGCCCGTCCAGCTGGGCAGGAGCAGCTCCCGCGTCTCCTCGGGCTCCATCTGCGCCAGGACAGGGGTCAGGGGTCAGTGTGGGGCTGGACATGGGGTCAGGGGTCAGTGTGGGGCTGGACATGGCGCTGGGGGTCACGAAGAGGGGACGGACACCGGGTTTGGGGTCAGGGTGGGGCCGGACATGGGGGCAAAGGCTGGATACAGAGTCTGGGGGTCAGGGTGGGGATGGACACTGGGTCTGGGGATGGACACCGGGTCTGGGGTCAGGGCAGTGGCCGGACACCGGGTGTGGGGATGGACACTGGGTTTGGGGCCAGACACGGCTCTGGGGTCAGGGTGGGGCTGGACAGGCTCTGGGGTCCGAGCAGGGGATGGACACGGGGTGTGGGGTCGGACACGGGGTCTGGGGATGGACACTGGCTCTGGGGTGGCCGGTGGCCGGAGAGCGGCTCTGGGGTCCGAGCAGGGTCCGGTTCGGCCGCGCTGACCTTGGCGGGTCCCGGTGCCGGTGCCGGATCCGCCCCCGCAATCCTCGGGCCTCGCTCGGGAACCTCGCGGCGGCTCCGGTGACACCTCCGGGCCTGGGGGGACACGGGGACACCGTGGGACACGGCGGGGGACATCGGGACACCCTGGGACAGCGGGGACACCTCCCGGCCTGGGGGAACATGGGGGGGACACGGGGGGCGACATGGGGGGACACTCCCGAGACAGCGGGGACATCGGGGGACACCCAGAGGAACATGGGACACCCCCAGCACACCGGGACACCCCCCACGACAGGGGGACACCTCCGGGACAGCGGGGACCCCCCCGGGGACATTGGGCACAAATTTAGGGGACCGGGGGACACCCCCCGGGGACACTCTGGGGACCCCCCCGATGTCCCCAGGGCCCGCTCGGAGCCCGCGGAATTTTTGGGATTCGCGGGAATTCCGGTCGGGAAGGGCGGGGCAGCGTGGGGGGGGTATCACCTGTCCCCTGTCACCCCTCCCTTGTCACCGAGTCACCCCGCGCCCTGCCACCCCCACCCTGAAATTTTGAGAAAATTTCTCAGTTTTTAGACAATTTCGGTTTTTTTTTTTTTTTTCACACCCCCCCCCCCAAAAAAACGGGGAGGGGGACATGGGGGGGGGGGGTGTGGTGACACTTGGGAGGGGCGGTGACACTGACGGGGGGCGGTGACACATTTTGGGGGGGGGTTGGTGACACCTTTTGGGGGGCAGTGACACTCTTTATGGGGGGGTCGCGCTGCCGGTGCCCCCCCGGGTGCCCCCCGCCCCCCCGGGCCCGGAAGGTTCTGGAAGCTCCGCTCGGTGCCGGCCGGACGGGTTGGTGACTCAGAGCGGGGTGGGGGGGACACGGGGGGCCCGGGGTGACTCAGAGCGGCCCCGAGCGCTGGGAGCGGCACCGCGCCGGGAATGAGCCACAAAACGCCAATTTCACCATTTTCCACCGTTTTTTCACCAGTTTTACCCATTTCCTCGCGGCGGGGGGTCACACGTGTCCCCCCCCCCATGGGTGACCCAGCTCCGAGTGTCCCCCCCGGCAATGCCGCCCCCCCCGCGCCCCCCGCGCTATTTTTGGGGTGCAAACCACGCGCGCCCCCCCCGCCCTCCCCTCCCCCCCCGCGGTATTTTTAGTCTCCCCCCCTCCCCCCCCCCGCACCCAAAAAGCCGCAGAGGGACCCGGGGGGGGGGGAGGGGAGGGGATGTCACCGGTGTCACACCCCCCCCGGTGTCACCTCCCGCTGTCACTTTGTCACCAATGGGGGGTCCCCAATCCCCTCCCCCGCCTCCCCCTTTTTCCCAATTTGTCAATTTTCCCATCTTTTCCCCACTTTTTCCCATTTTTTCCCCATTTTTTCCCGCCCGTCCGGGGCCAGACCCAGATTTTGGGGAGGGGATCCCTAAATTTGGGGGGTCCCGCGAGCTGTGACCCCTCCCAAATCCGGGCGGGGCCGGGGCCGGGGACCCTCCCAGGAAAAGGCAAATCCCAGAAAAGCTTCCCAAGAAAACGGAGGGGAATGGGAAAAAACGGGAAAAATAAACGGGGAAAATGGGGAAAAAATGGGGGAAATGGGGGTATAATGGGGGGGAAAATGGGGATGGAATGGGGAAAAGAGAAGGGAAATGGGGGAAGGGAGAAAATGGGGGGGGGAAATGGGGGAAAATTGGGAAAAAACTGGGAAAAAAACTGGGAAAAAAACTTGGGAAAAAATATTGAAAAAAAAATTGGGAAAAATAGGGAAAAAAGGGGAAAAGATGGGAAGGAACCGCAGGCCCAGGAGGAGCAGCAGCAGGAGAGGAGCGGGCGGGGCCGCGGCCGGTACCGGTCGGACCGGCTGGAGCGAGAGTCCCGCGGGCGGCGGGCCCCGCGCGGCTCCGGGAGGGTCCCGGACCGGTTCCACCGGGTCCGGCGCGGCCGCTGCCCGCGGCACCGTCCGGGGGTGTCCCCGGCCCCGCCCGGCCCCCTCCCCACACCGCCCCGGGAGCCCCAAAACGCGCCGGGATTTGGGGAGGGGGCGCGCGGGAATCGCCCCCGGCCCCACTGGAGTTTGGGGGTCCCGGGGGGGGCGGGGGTGTCCCCAATTTTGGGGGGGGGGCAAAGGGGGAAGTGGCGCCCGGAGCGGCCGCGCCCCAAAAACCGCAGAGACCGCGGGGGAGGAAGAGGGGGGGGAAAGGGGGAATCCCCCTCCCCAAATCCTCCTCCCCAAATTCGCCTCCTTGGGGGGCTTTGGGAACCCCAAAATCGCCGCGCCTCCCCCCCCCCCCAAAAATCCCGCCCCCCGCGCTGCGAGCGGCGCTGATGAGCGTTAATTACCGAACCCTCATTAACCGAGCGCCCACGCGCGGCCGCGCCCTCGCGGGATCCCGGGGATCCCCCCCCGCCCCCCCCCCAAATCGGCACCGGGACCCCCCCCGGGGTCCCCCCGGTCCGGGCGGGGCCCTGAGAGGGGGGGGAGGGGGGGGGAACCGCGGGCCCCGCCCCCACCGGGGACTCCCCGGGCGCGGCCGGAGGGGGGGGAGCGAGGGGGGGGGGGGCCACGCCCTGAGCGCGCGCGGGATCCCCGGGACCCCCCGGGACCCCCCCCGGGCTGCCCCGCCCTCCCCGGGACCCCCCGGAGCTCCGGGACCCCCCGGGACCCCCCCCCGGTTCGGTCACGGGACACGCGTGGGTTCCCCCCCCCCCGTCCCGCGGCGCTCCCGGAGCCCCCCCGGGACAAACGAGACCCCCCCGAGACCCCCCCGAACCCACGGCGGTACCGGAACCCCCCCGAGAGCGTCACGGGACCCCCCCCCGCACCCCGGGACCCCCCGGGACCCCCCGGACACGCCCGTGCCACTCTCGGAACCACCGGGACCAACTCCCGGCACTTCCAGAACCTCCCGGGCCCGTCCCGCGACCACTGGGACCCCCCCGCCCTCCTGGCGCTCCCGGAGCCCCCCGGGACTCCCCGGACACTTCCCCGGCAACTCCCGGGACCACCGGGACCGTCCCGGGACCCCCTCGCGCCCCTCCCGGAGCCGCCGCCCGTCCCGCTCCGGTCCCGGTGCCCCCCGGTGCCCCCGGCCCGGTCCCGGTGCCCCCGGTACCTGCGCGCTGCGGGCTCAGCGGCCGGGCCGGGCCATGCGGTGCCGGTGCCGGTACCGGAGCGGCCCCGGCGGCTCGGTCCGTGCGGAGTGGCCGCGCCCGGGCGGCTCCCGGCTCTTGTAGGGCGGCGGAGCCTCCCCCGCCCCCGGGGAGGGCCCGGCCCGGCCCGGCCCCGGGACAGGGAGCGGCCCGGGACAGCCCCGAGCGAGCGGCGGCGCAGCGGGAGCGGCCCCGGCGCGCCGGACCGGGAACGGGAACGGGAACCGCACCGGGGCGGCACCGGGACGGGGCTGTTCTGGACACGGTTCTGGGCCCGGTTCTCGGCCCGGTTCTGGGCCCGGTCCAGGCCCAGTTCTGGTCCCGGTCTGGTCCCGGTCTCGTGCAGTTCTGGGCCCAGTTCCACTCCCGGTCTGGCCCCGTTCTTGGCCCGGTACAGGGCGGTTCTGGTCCCGGTCTAGTCCTGGTTCTGGTCCCGGACTGGCGCTGTTCTGGGCCCAGCCTGGGGCAGTTCTGGGTCAGGTTCTAGTCCCAGTCTGGTCCTGGTTCTGGGCTGGTCTTGTCACGGTTCTGGTCTCGGTTCTGGGCCCGGACTGGTGAAGTTCTGGGCCCAGTTCCAGTCCCGGTCTAGTCCTGGTCCTGGTCCCGGTTCTGGTGTCAGTCTGGTCCTGGTTCTGGGCCCCGGGACAGGGCAATCTGGTCCAGTCTAGTCCCGGTTCGGGGCCTGGTCGTATCCCGGTTCTGGCCCAATTCTGGGCCTTGTCTATTCCCGGTTCTGGTCTGGTTCTGATCCAGTCCCGTCCCAATTTAATCCCAGTCCTGGTCTAATTCTGTCCCGGTCCCGATCTGGTCCCACTCCTAAGCCTGATCCAGTCCCAGTTCGATCCCGATCCAGTCCCGGTTCTGGTCCCGGTGTAATCATGGTTCCAGTTCTGGTTCTGATCCCGATCCAGTCCTCGTTCCAGTCCCGGTTCTGGTCCCGATCCAATCCGGTACTGGTTTCAGTCCCGGTTTCTGATCCCGATCCAGTCCCGGTTCTGGTCCCGGTTCCGGTCGGGCTCCATTGGACAATCCCGGACCCGGACCCCCGGCCCCTCCCCCGGCACCCCCAAATTCCCGCCCACCTCCCCAGGTGAGTCCCAAGCCCCGCCCCCCCCCCAGGTAACCCCAACCCTCCCAGGTGAGCCCAAATCCGGGGGGGGGAGAGAGGGGGGGAATCCCCCAGACCCCAGAACCACCCAGAACTGGGGGGCACTGGGGGGATTACTGGGATACTGGGACAGGACTGGGGGCACTGGGGGGCACTGGGATGGACTGGGGGGGCACTGGGATGGGACTGGGGGGGCACTGGGGGCACTGGGGGGATACTGGGGGGCACTGGGATGGGACTGGGGGGGCACTGGGGGGCACTGGGGAGCACTGGGTGGTGTCGGGACCCTCAGGAGCTGCTCCCAGTT